GAGAGTTCGGGCCGCACCAAGCACTGGCAGCAGGTGCGCAGGAGGTTCGCTGAGCTGCAGGACTCGGGGCGCGCCGACCCCGCGTCGCCGACGTCGCCGTTTTCGAAGAGCGGAGGAGGAGGAGGACCACCAGGAACCGAGGGGAGACGAGCAGGAGGGGAGGGACCATGAGGACGACGAAGGTTGGGTGTGGTACCATCCCTATCCCTCTCCCTCGTCCCATGGTCGTCTTTAGTCGTATTCCTCGTTGTGCTGCTCGTCCTGTTCTTTATGGTTTTTGTGGCTCTAGCCAGTGGAGAAGGAGAACTTGTCATTGCGACGAGGTGGAAAATGCCCCTTCCCTCTGGCCCCTTGTTTCTGGATGTGTAGTGTATGCAGGTCACGTGTGTTCCTGCATGGTGGCCGTCTTCCTGACGCTCATCCAACGCAGACCCCGGTCTCCTTCATCTTTAGAACCACATCCAGAGCTGTGCCGTTCACGCATTTCTCCTGTGCGACACAAAGCCGCCCGCACAGGGTCTACTCCTTCAGAGAAGCCTATGCCAGCGATAAGCTTCGAATGGGTGTCCTCTTCTTCCTGATCCCAGGATGAGGTGGCGAAAGAGGATGGCGTGGTCTAGTGCATTCGAGGCTGAAGGATGGCGAGGTCTAGTATGTTTCGGACTTCTGCGCGCACACACCTTCTCCTCCTCCTCCTCCTCCTCCTCCTCCTGCTCCACTTGCTCCTCTTGCTCCTCGCTCTTCCTTCCCGCTCGTCCTCGAGGGAGGCCCAGAAAGGCTGTCAAGCAGGCCTGCAGGAATGCTGGACCTGTTGGCGCCAGGGTGGTGTGTCTGCTCAGCTTCTGTGGTGGCCGTTCTTTACCCTCGAAGGCTTGTTGACCTGCAGTTGTTATGCGCGCGCTGTGCGCCTCATTGGCGCGAGAGTGTTACGGCCGGACCCGGGGTCCAAAACGTGCAGCCATCAGTGAAAACATATAATCGGAATATACTCGGACTTTGCCGCTTTTTGGTGGGGGCCCTCTTCGTCACGGCTGGACACAGCTCGAAAGATTTGCGAATTCGAACCCCAAGGGGGCCCGCAGACCGATTTTGAAGTGCCATCGTCTCAAGTCTCCTTGCTCCAAGTCATGTCAAGGATGTTTTTCCCTCGCTCCCGGTCCCACCCTCTCCAACTCCCTTCCCGTCCTCTCCCCAAGTCGCAGGGGACGTCAAACATACGTACACCGATCAGGGCCAGGCCCAACCTGGGCCCAGGATACGTGTATGTGCGTGCTTGGCCAAGCGAGCAGAGCGAATGCTCCAATATTGGGGACAGGATTGGGCCTGGCAAGGATCGGTGCAGGTGTGTCCATCCCTCCTCGTCCCTCCTGCTCTCCCACTGCACGCCCCCCTCCCTGCCGCCCTCCACCCTTTCGCCCTCGTCCTCACTCCACCTCATTCCTGCTTGCTCCTCCTCCACCTGCTCCCTCTTCACCCTCCTCCGTCCCCGTCCAGTCCCCTCGCGCCCCCCCCGCCCCGCCCACTCGCGTCCCTCCGCGCCCCCTCGCCTCTTCACCCCATCCGCACATGCCGGCGGCAACCCCCCCAATTCCCCTTGTCGGCCGCCGTCGCCATCGTCAGCGCGATCGCCGACGTCAAAGTCAACGCCGAAGCCGTCGCCGACATTCCCCCCCATCCGTTGCCCCGTGCAGTTGCCAGGGAGCCCAGTGCCATGCTTCCACCTGACGGCAGCGCATTAACCGAAGGAGATCTCCATGGTACACGGGGAGCGCGCCACCAGGATAGGCACCGCGGTTGGGCTGATGCCATGTCCGACCGTTCGTTCCCGACATCCTCCAGGATCATGGTTTCAATCGTCGACCCCAGAGGTCCCGACCGCTTGCTCGGGGGCAGGTTTTCGTTCAGGCCCCTTCTTGATGGTCCTCCTCTTCCTCCTCCTCCTCCCCACCTCGCTCATGATTCTCATCTTCATCTCTCCTCCTCCTCTCCTCCGTTTCTCTCCTCTCTCTCTCTCTCTCTTCCTATTCCTCCTCTGTCCCGTTGCCCACGAAGTGCCTCGCTACCGATGCCAAGGGAAGGGTGCGGGGAGGAGCGCTACCGCCGCAGCCAGAGAAAGTCCATGGAGGCCGTGCCAGCTGTCGAGACGACGCGCGATGAGAAGAGGATGGAGGGCGTAGGAGTGAGGACGGAGGAGGATCATGAGACGGAGGAAATGGGGAGAGGGAGAGAGGAGTGAGGAGGGATGACGACGAGGACGAATAGCGAAGAGAAGGAGCATTGAGGAGGAGGAGGAGGAGGAGGAGGAGGAGGAGGAGGAGGAAGAGTCGGGGGGAGAGAGGAAGGTCAGGAGGGGGAGTACGAAAAGGAGGACCATGGAGGTGACGAGGGCGGGGAGGAGCAAGGGCAGAGGGAGAAGCAGGGTAGGGAGGGAGGATGAGGGACGGCAGAGGGGAAGTCGAAGAGGGCAGAGGGAACAGGGAGCGGGAGGGAGGCGCGAATGGTTCGGGAGGTGGGCCGAAGGGAGAGCAGCAGGGAGGCAGACAGGAACAGAGGGAGGGGGAGCAGGGCCCGGAAGGAGGAAGCCAAAACGAGGGACGGCGGGGAAGGAGGGATGCAAATGAGGGACGGCGGGGAAGGAAGGAGGCAAACGAGGGACGACTCGAAAAAGCACGGGGATGAGGATCGAAGAGCAAGAACGCAGACACATAACTTAACTCTTTTGGAGCTCCGCGCGGATTTCCTGGATCGGCTCTGGGCTTCCCTGGCAGCGCCTCCGGCGCCGCGCCGGGCGCGCTCAGCGCGCCAGGGAGGGGTGTCCAGCGCCGATCCAGGAGTTCCGCGCGGAGTTATGGTTGTCCAGTTTTTTGGTTCCCTTAGCGGAGCAGAGGAGGTCGAGGAGGACCAGCAGCACCAGGGCTCTTGGACTGACCCCCTACCGCCAGAGAGACCAGGGTCCTCTACGGCAGGGTGTCCGGCGCCGCGGCATTATCATATTTCGGGTTGTCCAGACCGCAGTCATGCCCCAACAGCACGTTGGGGAGGTAAGGTGTACCTGAACGAATGAGGGCAAGAGGGGTCGGGAGCAAGGGTAGGCCAAGAGTAAACCCAGCACGCGCCAGTGATGCTGCAGCACAGCCTCCGGCCCGAATGACCCCCGTAAGCACACCAGAGGCATTACATTCGACTACTGCGCGCGCCCGCTGGAATGCGCCCGCTGGAATGTCGAGTGGCCCATGGGTTCTTATCAGGGCTCGGATCAGGGACGGCCTGGTAGGTCCTAATCCGACGGCCTTGCAACATGGTCAGGACTTGAGATACCAGGGTGGTCAGATTTCGTACTCTGCGCGCCTGGAAGGGGGACTGAAAGCGCGTGTACGATGCCCTACAGTTGTGCGTGTTCGTCGGGAACTAGATTTGTTGTCTTGTGGGGCCCATCCAGCCACACATATTGGCAGGGTAGCAGCAATTCTTGCCCATGTGAGCCAGCGACGGGGTCAAACAATGGCATCGCTATGTACCGAAATTCGATGCGTTTGAAAGTGACTCTCCTCCCGTCCTGGTAGTGCCAAAAGGCTTGCAATGATGATGTCCGCGATGTCCAGCCGAGAGCGAAGGTTCAAACGACACGCCCACAATCGGTGCGGCCGCTGAACTCGAGAAATGAGCAATTGTTTTCATCACGAGATAGGTATCGTTCAGCCTCAATTCCAAATCCAATCACAAACCCCGAGACCGAGACCGATCGAGGAAGTACACCCTTCATTCGGGCCGGACGAAGGGGGGGGGATAGGGAAAGGGAGGTACGAAATCTGCTGCATGCAGCTGGTTTCGGCCCCACCGAGGGGCCCATTCCTCGATACATTGCCGCCTCCCGGCGCCAGGCGGCGCCGGGAAAATCAGCTGCAAGAGCTGATTCTCACCCCCCCCCTTTGCTATCCCCCCTTTCGCCCGACCCGATACACGAACGCCTCTACGCACATGCAGTCGGCGAGCGTGCGAGTTCTGAGAAGGCATCGCCCTCCGTGCGTGCAGCCGTCTGGGATGCTGATGACCACAGGCTGCGGTTTCCCTGAGGTGATGTGCCTGTTTTCCACCACCACCACCATGGGTAGGAGAGGGAAGGGGTCCTCCTCCTCCTCCACCTCCTCCTTCTCCTCCTTTCCCCCTCCAACTCATGGTGGTGGTGGAAAACAGGCCCATCATGAGGAGGTTGCAAAACACAGTGCGCAGTTGGCAAACCATCGCGCCCAATCCCTGCAATTGATAGGCGCTAATAGCGTTTCAGGTAAGGCGCAACCAAGAGTGTGGGTTCGAGCACTCCTTGCACTCCACCCGTGTGACGTTTTGACGTGTAAGGTTTGCTGGCAGTAACACAGGGATTGATTGGCTCGCCCTCCCTGACTGGGGAGGAGTTTCCAGGAAAGGGGGATGGAGGAGCAGATGGATGATGCGGACGAGATGGACGAGGAAGGGAGGGACGGAGGGCGGATGCAGGGCCGCGTGCTGAGGACGAGAGGAAGGGGGGGGGGAAAGGGGGGCGCGGGGGGAGGAGGATGAACAAGCGGAGGCAACGGATGAGGAGGAGGAGGAGGAGGAGGAGGAGGTTGACGCTTCGTATCCAGGAGACCCTACAGCATGCCCAAGAGAAAGAGGAGGAGGAGGAGGAGGAGGAAGAGGAGACAGAGGAGGAGGAGGAGACAGAGGAGGAGGAGTTTGCCCCCTCCTGACCGGCGGCTGCGACGCGCTGTGCCCGAGGCCCGCAGGTCCCTGGAGGGCAGTGCCGTGGGCGACGCTGGTGGGAGGGGTGCGCCAAGAGCAGCGATGCCAGGAGCATCCTCCATCCCCGCCCCTCCTCCTCCTCCTCCTCCTCCTCCCCCTCCTCCTCCTCCTCCTCCTCCTCCTCCTCCTCCTCCTCCTCCTCCTCCTCCTCCTCCCTCCTCCTCCTCCTCCTCCTCCCTCCTCCCACTCCTCTCCCCCTCCTCCTCCTCCTCCTCCTCCTCCTCCTCCTCCTCCTCCTCCTCCTCCTCCCCCCCTCCTCCTCCTCCCACCTCCACCCTCCTCCCCTCCTCCTCCTCCTCCTCCTCCTCCTCCTCCTCCTCCTCCTCCCTCCTCCTCCTCCTCCTCCTCCTCCCCCTCCTCCTCCTCCTCCCTCCTCCTCCTCCTCCTCCCCCTCCTCCTCCTCCTCCTCCTCCTCCTCCTCCTCCTCCTCCCCTCCTCCTCCTCCTTCTCCGCCTCCTCCTCCTCCTCCTCCTCCCCTCCTCCTCCCCTCCTCCCCCTCCTCCTCCTCCTCCTCCTCCTCCTCCTCCTCCTCCTCCTCCTCCTCCTCCTCCTCCTCCTGCCTCCTCCTCCTCCTCTCCTCCTCCTCCTCCGCCTCCTCCTCCTCCTCCTCCTCCTCCTCCTCCTCCTCCTCCTCCTCCTCCTCCTCATCCCCTTCCTCCTCCTCCTCCTCCTCCTCCTCCTCCTCTCCTCCTCTCCTCCTCCTCCTCCTCCTCCTCCTCCTCCTCCTCCTCCTCCTCCTCCTCCTCCTCCCCTCCTCCTCCTCCTCCTCCTCCTCCCCTCCTCCCTTCCTCCTCCTCCTCCTCCTCCTCCTCCTCCCCTCCTCCCTCCTCCTCCCCCCTCCTCCTCCTCCTCCGCCTCCACCCCCACCCCCTCCTCCTCCTCCTCCTCCTCCTCCTCCTCCTCCTCCTCCTCCTCCTCCTCCTCCTCCTCCTCCTCCTCCTACTCCTCCTTCCCCTCCTCCTAGCTCCTCCTCGCCTGCTCCGCGGCTGGGCGCGCCCCTCTGGCATGCCCTCACCGGGACCATGAAATTCAGGAAGGGAAAAACACACAGGCACCAGTCAAAAGTCGATCTCCAAGAACATGTTGGAGAATCTGGGAAGGGGGAGTGAAGACGAAGCAGCAGAACATACGATGGGAAACGATAGGGGAATCTTGGGATGTGTGTCTATGTATTGCGGAGGCCTTACGGTGCCGGTGCCGCCGACCCTGAGGCTGGGAAGGAGGGCGCGGAGCATGGGGAGGAAGATGAGGAGGGGGACGGGAGGAAGAGGTGGATGAGGAGGAGTGGGAGCATATTCGTGTGTCCCAGGGCCCCTTTGAATATCTCATCAGATGTCGTGGCCCCTCTTCTTTTTTCAGTGCAACCCCTGGCCCCCCCATGGGGCCGTGCACGTGCCTCCGGCCACGATTTGCATACCCCTTCTTGGACGCTCCCTTCTTTGGACTTAAGTCGGGCCTGTTCCTCTACAGGAGGAATATTCAAAACTAGTTTTTTTTTAAGTCAGGGGACCATTTTTGAATATGTTTCAGTATGCTTGAATTGTTGTTTGGGTATTTTTTGATTTTTCGTCCAAATTCCCACTGCAGGGGGACATGCCCGACCGAACTTCGGACGCTCCCCCCGTTGCCCTTGGTCACCTGACGTTTCGCCCTCAGCCCACTCCAATCCGTGTGTTCGTTCTCTGTCCTCCTTCCGTTGTTCCCCCATCCCGTTCTCGTCTCCCTTTGTTCATCAGCATCTCCCGTGCTGCTTCTCCCCCTCCGCCCCCTCCGCGCGGGGAGCACCCAAACTCGGTAAACGTGTTGCAGGCCAGAACCCTCTGACCACTGAGGGCGTGGCTCGGTATCGAAAGAGACCTGGCACGAAGCTGTTGTTCCGTGTGTTTCGAGCAGCGTGCGCCCGCCGCTGCCGACTCGCTTACCCATCGAATCCCGCATACCTCTGACTTCTTCCTTCCTCTCTTCGGAGGGCACCAACTATACACCTACACCGATCTTGGCCAGGCTATTCCTGCGCCCAGGATCGGTGTATATGCCTTCCTGCCCCAGGCAGGAGGGCGTATACACCGATCCTGGGCCCAGGGTGATCCTGGCCAGGATCGGTGTAGGTGTATAGTTGGTGCCCTCCTATCTCTCATTCTGCCTCGGGTTTCTAGTTCTCCCTCCCTGGCCGCCTCCCCTGGTCGCTGTCAGCCGCGCTGCATCCTCGTTCGCCTGCCTCCCGACAGTCCTCAAGTGGAGATGCAGGCAGGGGGGGGGACTAGGAGACTACGGAAGAGGAGGAGGAGGAGAAGGAGGAAGAAGCGAATACGGAAGGGATGACATTCAAGGTGATTTGCAGACCAGTCAGCGGACTTCTTCGGTTTGATATCAGGCCTACCGCACGGCAAGTTCGCATCTCATTCTCAGAGGAAGATCGTGGGAGGTGGGACGGACGGCCTGTGCTTCGCGCGGCTTCCTCCGATCCGCTCGCGGGCGAGTTGTTGTGCGACCGCCGCGGGGGCGACCGCCGCAACGCAGAGCGAGCCCTCCTGCTCAAATCGAGGGGCTTCGGGGTCGCCGCGTGGCAGGCGTCCCCGCGCTGGGGGAGCTCGGTGCCCTGAAGAGCCTTTTGCGGTCAGCGAGCACGCCTGCCGAACGTGAGCGCGCGCGTCTCGGGCAGAACGGGTGTGGGTGGCCCGTGCGCGGATCAAGAAGGTGATCGTTTCTGTTATGGATGGTTTTGCCGATCGGCGCGGGCCCCGAACCCCCCCCTTCCCCCTTCCCCCCAAACATTCCCCCCAAATGGAATAGATATTGGCTGTTTTTGGGCGCCTGTTCCAGGCAGGTGGAGGCTCCCCCAGAGGCCGAAATATTGCAAACAGTCGCATGAAGCAGAGGTCCAGAGCCAGACCCCCCCTCCCCCCTTTCGCCCGATGTCGAAGCGCCGAATCAGACAATGCTCACAAGGGGCCTGCGGATGGGGCGATGCAGGAGGGTACCTCGGACAGGGCTGCGAACGCACGCGGGAAGACGGCCGTGAAGGACGGCGTGGACAGGAATCCCAGCACGCGGTCGCACTCGAACCGGATGGCGATCAAACAGGAGTTCGCCGCCGAGTCGTTGGAGGGAGCGCCCGCGAGCCCGACTACGATGCCATACGATGCCCTTGCAAGTCCCAGGCTCGGTGGAACCACCGGGCGGCCCATGCGGCCCATTGATGCGCATCGCACGCTGGTGGGACCGCGGATGCGCTGACTACGGCCTGCTAGGGGGTCGCTGGTATCGGCGCTGCCCTGCTCGCAGGCAAGTGACGGTACAGGTGCCGCTCGTTTCGTCCGCCTCACTTCTTGGTCATCGACAAGTGTCGCGACCGGCTGGGGCCGCGGATCGTTCGGGGGGGACATGAAACATATGATGTCACGTGCGCCGATCATGCATGGTCGGGATTGGTATTATTTGCACTGGTACCCGTGCGCCGTCGCCACTTCCCTCTCCCTAGTTCACCTTCCATTATCTTCAGCATCGGCAACATAACCTCCAGCATCACCAACAGGCGTATCATCACCACCACCGCCACCGCAATTTTCGGATACGCAGGGTCATAGCTAGCCCTCCCCATGACATCATGAGTTTCAGATGGTTTCGTGTTTCATGTTTCCGGTGGTCGCAGAAGGATATCAAAGGTTTTGTCGTAATCGCAAAAGCGGAAGGGCTACGAGCCAGATGTGTTATATTACACGTTTGGTGTTTCTGGGATGGAGACAATACGGTGGGTGTTCTCGTTCGATTGTTGGGGCCGGCGGAGGAGTTGCTTCCTCATACCAGTAAACAAGCAAACGCCACCATCATCATCTCTATCCCCTGCTTCCTACTCCCCCCGCTTCCTCCCCGCCCCTTTCCTCCTCCTCCTCCAGGAGGCGTGGGGGAGCAAGGATCGGAGGAGGTCCAGTTGAGGCACCGGTGGCTCTCCCGCCCAGCCCGAAGCCCGACCCGTTTTGGCGGGGCGGCTCCGGCCGTGCCGACGAGGAGCGTCCGGGAAGACGCCCAACAGGGAGACGAAGAGCGCCAGAGAGTGCCGCCGCTGCCCCGACTCGGCCCTCCCTCCCCCCCGCCTCCGAGCGAGGAGGAGGAGGAGGAGGAAGAGGAGGAGGAGGAGGAGGAAGAGGAGAGGAGGAGGAGGAGGAGGAGGAGGAGGAGGAGGAGGAGGGAAAACGGGGAGGAGGAGGGTGAGCGGATCTGGGGCCCATCTGGAGCCACGACTGGGGGGGCAGGCTCGGGGGAGAGTACGTCGATTTCAGCATCCCAATCGTCGCCGAGAGGGGCCCGAGAGCCTCGGCCCCGCCCAGGGCCGTGCGGAGTCGCCCTCGGCGGCGCAGGGGCGGTATGTCGCCGATTCGCGCTCGATGGTTTCCCCTTCTGAGCTGGTCCCCCCTCTGACGTTGCCCCTCGCCAGTGGGGGGCGGCGGGAGTCGGGGGAGGGAGAAGCGACACCACCACCACCAGACTCGGCCACCTCCAGCGAGGAGGTCCACGACGCCTCCCTGGGGGATGTCTCGAGGGAGAGAGGGGGGGGGGGGGCACGCCACGGGCGACCCCGCCTGGCTCCTCCCGCTGGTGGTGTCTGGCGGCGGTGATGCCGCTTTCCCTTGAGCCCTGGGAGGGCCGAGGCGGCTGGTTCGCTGGCAGGAGCAGGGCCAGTGCGCCGTCCACGCGGGCCGCCTCGGACAGCGCGGCCGCCGCCGCGGCGGCCTTGTCGGCCGCCGCTGCCGTCCGCTGCCGGCGCCGTGGGCTGCCGACGTCGGCCGCCGCGCGCCGTCGTGCGTCGTCACCCGCCGTCCTGCCAGCGAGGCTCGACCTTCCACGCCCGAGCTCTGGTCCCTCGCGTCGTCCTGTTCCTCGTCCCTCCCTGCCCCTCAGCCCTACGTCCTTACTCCAGATTTCGTTAATACAGGGAGGGGGGTCTCATTTCGGGGGGGGGGTCTCTTCCAGGCCATCTTGGAGGGCCTGGGGGGTCTGGGGGCGATGTTTTGGAGGGTTCTCCCACGGGGGAGGTCTGAAATGGCTTGTCTTGGAGGGTCCAGACCCCTTCCCTTTTATTACGAAATCTGGAGTATACGTAGCTCCTCCGTTTTGCACCCCTGGGGCGGGCCGGGCGTTTCGCTCGAGATCTCCTTGCAGCTTGGAAGCTGCAACAGCTTCACGATTGGAGGGCAGGTCCTTTCCAAAGGTATGGCCGTCGCCTTGGCGCAGCGTGCACTCGTCGCACAAGTTTGCGGCAGCTTCATGGACGGAGGGCGGTTCCCTTTCCACATGTGGCTCTCGCTTCGGCGCGACGCACACTCGTGTAAAAGTTTGCAACGTGTTCGAGGATGGAGGGCGGTTCCTTTTCAAGCTGTGGCTCTGGCCTCAGCGCCGCGCACATTCGTTTAAGACTGTTTGCAACAGCACCAAGGGTTCGTTCTGGCCCGACTCAGGATTGCCTGGACCTAGCAGTCACGTTGATTCGGAGGGCTGAAGTCCCAGGAAAGGCGTTCCGGCACGGTGTCAGATTGTGAAGACGCAGCAGTCACGATGATCCGCGGCGCTGAAGTCCCAGGATTTTGTGTTTTGACACGGTCGAGGGTTCTCAGACGGTTTCCAATGGGCCATTTCCCGAAATGACAGTGGAGGAAAGTTGGAGGGAGAGCGTATTGCAATATCGTTGGTGGTTCTTGTGTTGGCGCTGGTCTTCCTCCTCTTCATCTGAGTTCTTTAGACAAGACGTGATCTGCCCTACGTGCAGGCGCGATTTGGGGAGAAAAGGGCACAGCGGTCTCAATGACCGAAGGGTACCAAAGGGGGTGTGGGGGGAGTGGGTTTTCCAGAGAGCCCCCCAGGGGCCTCGGAACCTCGTCAAGACAGGAGGTGCGAAACCCCTGGGGGACCCCTCCTGGAAAACACCCTCCCCCCAACAAAAACTGGTGGAACCCTCCGGAAGGCCACGCTGTCCTCGGTAGTCCGCCAGAGCGTTGCTCTTCGGTTTGCGCCCCGATGCCCGGTGCTGGTCCAACGGTAACACGCCAGTGTAACCCCAACGGCGGCGTGCCATTGCGAGCCATCTTCTTCAGGCTTCGCGTATCCCCGCCAGCGTAGCTCCGCCTTCTCCTCCTCCTCCTCCTCCTCCTTCTCCTCCTCCTCCTCCTCCTCCTCCTCCTCCTACTCCTCCTACTCCCCCTCCTCCCCTCCTCCCCCTCCCTCGCTCTCCATCCCCCTCCCTCCCCCTCCCCGCCGCGTATCCCCGAGTGCTCGCGGCCCGTGCTACTCCACTGACGCTGCCGGCGCGCTCGCCTGCAGCTGCGGCTACGAGTATCCCCGCCAGCTCACCCAGAGACCTTGCCCCTCGAGATTTCACGGGTCGGAGTGACGAAGAGTCACACGTGGTGAGACAACGCGGGCAACCCGGATGAGCAGAGTGGTTCCTGAGAGCAGAGAGATGGTTTTAGCCGACCTCTTCGGGCCATCCCTGGGGCCCGCGTGGGGGCGAGGGAACGAGGAGGAGGAGGAGGAGGAGGAAGACGACGACGACGACGACGAGGACGACGAAGACGAGAAAGAGGAGGAACTCGACAAGGAAGACGATGAGGGCAAGGACGAGAACGAGGACGAGGCCAAGGAGGAGACGGAGGAGGAAAAAGTCGATGGCAGAGCGCTCAAACTCTCCTGTAGGAGCCCTCTTGGGACTCTTTAGTGTGATCTTGGGTCCTTCTGGGGCTCTTTTGTTCGGATCTTGGAGCCCTCTGGGGGATCCTCTAGGGGGTCCCTTGGAAGCCCTGGAGGGCCTCTTGGGCCATCTTGGGGGCCATCGATCAAACACGGGGGGGTCTTCGATTTGCGTCCCCCCCCCTTTGGGGTCATCAACATCGCCTCATGGTGCTCTCTTGGGCTGCTCTTGGGCGCTCTTGCGGTCATCTTGGGGCCACGGGAGCGAAAAGGCGAGAAGTCGAAACATCTGGATGTACCGTTGGTTTTCGAAAGAGTTTGGCCGCTTGAGGGGTCTTGTGGGGGCTCCGAGAGCACTTGAATCCGTCTTCTGGCCCCCGTCGGGCATCCTGAGGCCATGCCAGAGACCGTGTGTGGATCAGTCTTCGGATGTCTTGAGCCGCCTTGGAGGCCATCTTGGAGCATCGGAGGTCTTCTTGGAGCCACCATTGGCTAACAAGGACCCTGTGCCACCCCGCGGCCCCCGCCAAAAAACCTCGGGGAGGGGGAGGGGGGAGGGTACCCCTCTCCGGAGGGAGGAGGGTTCGTTGGAGGAGGGGAGAAAGAATTCGCTAGACCGCCGTAGCCCAGAGGGCTGTCTAGATTAGCATTGCGTCAGGGGTACAGTCGGACCGAGGTCCAAGATCGAGGTCGGTTCAGGGAGTGTACCCTCGTGCTCCTGGTGCTTGTCGGATGCTCTTGTGCGTCCTGGGAGGGTGCCCTTGGATGTCCTCTTCGTTGTGGCCGACGGAGGGTCTCATGTGCTTGAGGGAGCTCCTTCGGGCCTAGGTCCGACAGCACATCGCTCCCCCTTGTGGAGGCGGTGGGTGCGCGCCCTCCCCCCCGCGGCGAGAACGCCCCACAAGCCCAGCCCTCGATCCTCGATCCTTGAAGCCCGAGGAAGAATCACAAGCACGAGAACGCCCCACAAGCCTGGCCCTCGATCCTCAGTCCTTGAAGCCCGAGGAAGAATCACAAGCACGTGAGCAGAAACCGTCGGAGGTCCGCGGGGATTTCTTGGGTGCGCGCACGGCCGTCCCTGGCGGCGTCTTCGGCGCCGCCCCTGGCTCGCTCCGCGCGCAAGTCGAGGGGAGCCCAGCGTCGGCTCAAGGAGTCGGCGTCGACTTCCGAGGGTTTATACTTTCTGTCGCTGTGCGTTCCCTCGGCGTCGCTGGGACGTGTGCCCTTCTTCTCGGCGAAGACCATCGAGTAGCAGTCTGGATTCATCTTGCGAAGAACTACACGCGCGACGTCGACAAATGCACGGGGGATGGACGTCCGAGCGATGCCAAGTTCCTCTCTAGAAGCTCGATCGAGCCTCGAAGCCTCGGAGCGACGACGCGCGGGAACGACGACGCCGACGCCCCTGGCCAGGATCAGCCCCGAGAGCGCCCCACAGGCCTGGCCCTCGATCCTCGATCCTGCGGCCTCCATCGAGCCTCGAGGCCTCGGAGCGCCGGCGACGGCGACGGCGCCCCCCCGAGCCAGGAGCAGCACGCCGCGCTCTGCGAGCTGGCGCGGTGCGAGGAGGAGCTGCTGCGCAGCGAGGTCGCCCGGCCCTCGCCGCCGCCGCCGGCCCGCGACGGCCCTAGGCGGCGCTCGGCGGCCCGGCAAGCGGCCCCGGATGCGGCGAAGAGGCGGTCGTCGTCGCCGCCGCCGCCGTCGTCTTCGGCGTCCTTAACCTGCTCCTGCGTTTCCTCCTCCCCCTTCTTCCTCCACTTCCTCCACCATGGCCGAAAGGGTTCAGTGGCATCTCGCTACGCTGCCGACCTCTCCGGTGCAAGGACTTCGGGTTCGGCATGTGTGGCTCTGTGCGCCCGTCGGCTGTTCTCTCCTGCAAGGACTCCGCTTCCGACATGTGCCACTGCTGCACAAACAAGAATTACTGCCGTTTGCAGTCCTATCTGTGTCGAGGTTGCCCCCTCTTCACTCTTTCGCCGACACGACGTTTCGACATTTGTGTTCGTCCACTTCAGGGATGTCATCTGGGGGTGCTTGTCGGTCTCGTTCGTCTCTGACGTTGCCGTCTGCCTGACTCACACCGACTGGTCGACCTCTACGTGATTTTGGTCGCGCCGCCGCGCCATTTTGGCTGCGTCTACTCGCTGGTAGCCACCGGGATTTTCGGACGCCGCCGGGAATGGGTCTACCGTTTTCTTCGCCCTTCTGAGTTGCCGCCCGTTTGCTGCGCTTGTTTTGCTTTTCTGTTTGTTCCGTTGTTCCGTCGCCTAGTCGTGGCCCGGCTAGAGTTTGGACGTTTTTTGGCTCGCTTCACGAGGCCGTTAACCAACAAATTTCCACATCAGCCAATTTAGAAGCCATGCCCATGAGAGATGACGGAATCGATAACGAAAGGTCACATGTAGTGAAACAGTGCGGGCAACCAGGGTGAACACAGAGATCTTTGAGAGCAAGGAGGTGGCCTTGGCGGGCCTCTTCGGGCCTTCCCTGGGGCCCGCGTGCGGGCGAGGAAACGAGGAGGAGGAGGAGGAGGAGGAGGAGGAGGAGGAGGAGGAGGCAGACGAAGACGACGACGGCGACGAAAACGAGGACGAGGACGAGATCGAGGATGAGGAGGAAACAGACAAGGGAGACGATGAGGACGAGGACGAGGACGACGAGGAGGAGGAGGAGGAGGAGGAGAAGGAGGAGGAGGAAAAGGTCAACGAGGACGAGAACAAAACCTTCAAAATCGCCTCGAGGAGCCCTCTTCGGACTCTCTTGGGGGATCTTGGGGCTCTTTTGGGGCTCTTTCGGGGGGTCTTGGGGCCCTCTCGGAGCCCTGTTGGAGCCCTCTTGGGGTTTTTTTGGGAGGGCCTCCTGTAGCCATCCTGCAAACAATCGATCAACAAGGGATTGGTCCTCGATTTGCGTCCCCCCCTGGGACCATAAAGATTACATCTTGTGGCCCTTCTGGGCCGCTCTTGGGCGCTCTCGGGGTCATCTTGGGGCCGTCATGGGCCCCTTCTTGGGCTTCTCTTAGGCCATCTTGGGGCCATCCTGAGGCCTCAGAAGCGCATCGGAAGCGAAAAGGCGAGAAGTCAAAGATCACTGATGCTCCTTAGGTATGAAGGATTTGGGCCTCCTGGTGGGAGGGCGCTCCGAGAGCACTTGGAAGGTACCTTGGACCATCGCCGAGCCTGGCCCGGGCCCCCTGGCGGCGCATCCGGCGCTGCCCCTGGCCCGGTCCTCGTGCCAGGTAGGGGGGTCCAGCTCCGATCCGAGAAATCTGCGCGGAGCTCTGACCGTTTATGTGTATGCCGTTTTTCTGTTAGCAGAGGGCAGCTAACGGTGTGAATGGCGAAGGCATGGAGAAAGGGATAGACGCCTGCGACAGCATCAATCACCTGGCGCGTGTCCGCAAGTCCTCCAGGCTGCCAGCGGCAAGCGCGTGTCTCACGGCAGAGGTGGCTGGTCCATGGACACCAGCGAGGGAAGAACGACACGCCCGGAGAGGCGTCGGTCACAAGATGTTGCCCTTGCGGGGTGAGAGCGGATGACTTCCACGGGATCTCGGGCGTGTGTCCAGATAGAGCGCAGCACCCCGCATTCGAGTGCGCGGACCAGTGGAGCCTGACGGAACCTTCACGATCCACACGTTTGGCGTCACTGACGGTAGGTAGCCCACCATCGCCCCACATCGATCGCATCAGTTGGAGCGGCTCCAGAGCTCGAGCCTGCCACCGCCCGCTTCTCCGCGAGGCGCCGTCTGGGCCCCTTCTTCCCTCCGGATGAGGGGGGTGCCACGCGGAGACCCATGCCAATGAACACCCTGCTTGACTTCAGGTTGCCCTGGGTTTCTTGGGTTTCGATGGTTTTGCTATGGAGAGCGTGACGTTCCCACACGAGACATCGATGGACGTCTTGGGGTCTCAGGGTTGGGTGTCTTGTGGAAGGTTTCTTGAGAACTGGCCTCCACTGTACGCCGTGTTTATGGTTGCGCGGCCTTCCCCCAAGATGTTGGCAACACCGCCGCCGTGCGCGAGACCATGCACCGAGGAGCGCGCTGGAGAGCTGTAGGTCGGATCGAGGCACCGCCATGCCGGGTGCTGGAGGTGTGTGGCGACGAGAGTGGAGGAGCTGAGTCAGAGGACGCCCGTTACCAAAGGTGCGGATGGTGTTCTGTCGCCCTCGATTCCAACCCGAGCCAGCCGCCCATCAAGGGAGGAGCCTATGCGCCGCTGGAGCGGAGTTCTCGGACCTCGCGTCGGCCATGGTGAAGGCAGAGGCCAGTTGCGTTTCTGGGGAGGTTCGGAGGTGCTCTCCAAGCGCTGTGCGAGCCGAGCACCATGGGAGAGCTGCAGACAGAGATGGGGGGCCGCTTTGGGAGACAGAGGTGACCAGCGCGTGGCGGTAAAGCGGTTGGATAGCCACATGTCCTCCAGAGCAGCGGAATTTGAAAGAGTCCTAATCAATGTTTGGCGTGGCAGCGAGGCTGTTGACGAATTTGCGGTCGAAGGAGCGAAACAACATCGGGTGTCCCCAGCCCGTGTGTGTTGTCATAAGCGGTTTGTCGCCACCTCCGCCTTGGTTCGGAACCGAAGAGTTTGCGACACTGAAATGGCTTTCGAACCAGAGAAATTTGACGCCTCAGCGAGACGGGGGGGAAGGGCGGAGAACATGTCTCGCCGTGCCACCCTGGAGATGGCACAAGCCAGCTCTAACCATGCCCTGTGCTTCCAGAGGACCAGGTGGGGATGCTTCGACTGTCGCAGTTCTGACAGTAAGATTGCGTACATGAAGATGTTGAATGGACGGCTCTCGAACGACTTCCCAGGTCCTCCTTCCCCCCAGCCGCACCCAGCCCAGATCACGATCGGGACGAGGCGCGGCCTTCATCACACGAATTGTTTTTTTTTATATGAACCCTTCGGGGTTTGCAGTCTGTGCGGGTGTCTGACGCTGGAGGGTAGAGGGCGCCTCTTAAAAAGAAAAAACATGCTTTAGGGACTTCTCTCAGTCTTCCTTGCGGGGGTCCCCGTGGCAGGGACGTCCGAGCAAGCGGAGCCTCGACGTCCCGAAGGCAGCACACCTGGAGCACCACACTAGGGGAGGCGCCCACGAGCCAGAGCCGATGTGATTTGTGGGCCTGGCGGGCGAGCCTGGGGAGGCCCGTGCATGGCATAGCACACACAGCACGCTCCGACACGCCTCGACCTCCACAGCGGGTGCACACGTATGCCTTCCCGGCCTTACCAACTCGTTGCACCACGTGGCTTTGACGGTCTGGCACAAGTTGGAGGCCATCGAACGTCGGACGGCGGGCCTTCTTAACCCGCTGGACGTCGGGAAGTTATAATGGGAAATGTGTGTTACCGAAGGAGCCGATAAGCTTGCACACCAATCGGACAGAGTCGCGACTGTCTTTGCGCCTTCGCACGAGCTGCGGGTTGGAAACTTGGGCCTGGGCACCTCTCTGGGCTAGCTTGTCGGCTAGCGTGTGGCCGAACCAAGCCTAGAACGGAACATTCGAGGTCCTGGAGCAGGTCTGCCAAGGGAGGTGGGCGTTGATCTTCTGAGCTCGATATACTCGAGCCCAAACTCACTGGCCTGGAAAAGCACCTCATCCCACAACTCTGCAAAGGCGACCTGCGATCGATCCGCGTCGGGACCCGCGGTCCAAACGTCGAAAACAGCCTGGTAGTCAGAGTATACTACAGGTGAACGAAGCGCAGCTGAACGGATGGCCATGAGGAGGGCATCAATCTCCCCCCCCCCCCACACAACGTTGGAGGGGGTGAGGTAAGGATCCGAACACGCTGCCATGAGATCCGCCTACTTCCTGCATGCTAGCAACAGCCCATCCAGCCCATGGGTGCCTTGGTCGAGCCCTGACCCGTCTATACACTGCAGAGGGCCCAAGAGCCCCGACGGGGGCCGCAGGTGCCAGAGCCTGGAAGGGGCCAACGACAGAGGGGGCCAGTCGGCCCCAGGGTCTGGGGTCACGGCTCTGGTGTACAAAATCCTCCTCCTCCTCCTCCTCTTCCTCCTCCCCCTCCTCCTCCCCCTCCTTCCTCCCCCTCCTCCTCCTTCTCCTCCTCCTCCTCCTCCTCCTGCTCCTCATCTGTCCTTCTCTCCCCCCCTGTCCCTACCCCGCCCCCCCTCTCACCCGTTCCCGCCTTCTCCTGGTGGGAGAAGGCTGCATGTGGCAGAAGGGGCAGCAGGAGCAGGGATGCGGATGGGGAACGGGATCAGGAGCCCGACGGTGCCGGGCACGACGATCACGGGGCTGATGATGGTGAGGGAGAGTCGCGGAGACGCAGTTGGAGGACGAGGAGGGGGAGGTCGAGAAGGGGGGGGGGTCAAGGAGGAGGAGGAGGAGGAGGAGGAGGAGGGGGAGGCAGAGGAGTTAGGGGCAAGCGAGGCGCGCCCACGCCACATCTGGCATCCATGGATCCCGGAGTGGCCCGTCGTCTGCCGCCATCGGGGAGGCGGGTCAGCACGAGGGCCATGCGCCGCACGGGGAGAGGCGTCGCGCACAGTGCGACCGCGCCGTGCACGAAGCGGGGCTGAGGAAGGAGCAGAAGGACATATAGGAGGAGGAGGAGGAGGAGGAGGAGGAGGAGGAGGAGGAGGAGGAGGAGGAGGAGGACATATAGGAGGAGGAGGAGGAGGAGGAGGAGGAGGAGGAGGAGGAGGAGGAGGAGAGGAGAAGAGGAGAAGAGGAGAAGAGGAAACAGAAGTGGATGATGCCAGAATGTCGTTGCGTGCCCAGAAACTTCGGCTTGTCCTTCGACTCACTCTGGAGCGTTCGCGGTTTGCTCTAGATCTCCCTGGAGATTGTTGGACTTGTTGATGTAAAATATCTGCCTAGGACTGGGATGTATTTGCACCTGCTAATATTTTGTCGACGTACCTCGATTTATCGGGCTGCATCTCGGCAAGTCGATTGAAGAAAAGAAGTCAAGCTTTGAAGGGGAATGATTGCGAAGAAGCAGTGGCTGAGGCAGTGGTCGGCCACGCGCAGAGGGTGGCAGGGGGAGGGGAGAAGGCCTCTTAGAAGCACCCGTGCTTCTTAGAAGATGATGGGCTTTCTCTATACATGCAAGGCTGGCGCTTTCCAGGAAGCGGCCTCTTTCTACACCTTAGGCGATGCTTAAGAAAACTTAAATGTTCGGCCAGAATCTCGATTATTCTTAATAATGTTCCAATGTAAATCCTAAGATGTTAATGGAACTTTGGGGTTTTTATTCAAGATCTGAGACTATGAATTTCTGAACCCATGATTTCTTTAAGCAGTTCGCAGGGTGTAAGAAGCCTTCCCCTTCCCCTCTCCCCCCTCTCCGCGTGGCCACAGTGGCATGCGGGGCCCCGCCCCGGTCGCCTGCCCGCTGCCGGGAGCTTGCCCGGTTGCGGAGAAGACAGCCGAGGGCGACGTCGGCGGCGTCGCCGTCGTTCGGGGACGATCCTGGAGGGTCGCCTCGCCACGGCTGGACGCAGCTCGCAAAGTGTGGGGAATGAGGAGGAGGAGGAAGAAGAAGAGCCCTCCAGGACGGCCGAACACGATTCGAGTGGGGGAGCACTCGGAAGCTCGGGAGGAGCGAGGTGAAACCATCACGTTGTCAAGGGAGAGCGAGAGAGAGAGAGAGGGAGAAGAGCAGTACCCAAGCAGCAATCGCTGCAACCGCTCATGACGAGAAGGATGAGGGCGACGACGAATGCGAGGACGCCGACGAACACAGCGACGAATAACACGACGCCGGCGACGGCGGCGGCGGCGAAGATTTTACGGCGACGGCGACGAACTCACGACGACGACGAAGACTGCGACGAACACGAACACGAACACGACGGCGACAAGGACGGCGGCGGAAGGCGGCTCCTCGCCTGTCGCCCGCGCCTCGCGTCTCGCTCTCGCGGGAGGCATCCCTGCGCAGCTTCGAGGACGAGTCGCGCGAGCGGCTGGTGCAGCTGAACCTCGAGAAGTGGCAGCGGATGGGCGAGGCGCTGTCCCAAGGCAGCGACGTTCTCTTCCTCGTCATCCTCCTCGTCCGCCCCCTCGTCTTCCTGGCCTTCTCGTCTGCCTCCCCCTCGACGTCGTCCTCGTCCGCCTCTTCCCGCTCCTCGTCCGCCTTGTCCACCTCGCCTCCTCCTCCTCCTCGTCCGCCTCGCCTCATCGTCCCTCTTCGGCCTCGTCCTCGTCATCGTCCTCATGCTCATTGGCACAGTCCTTCTCGTCCTGCTCGATCCCCTCCTCCTGCCACGCATTGGACGCAGTGTGTCGGTCCTGACCCGTCTTGGCCTTTTACGAACCAGCGCCTTGATGGGCAGGCGGTGAGCGATGCTCGGTCGCCTGGCTTGCATTCGATGTGCATGCTAGTTGAGGTTGCCCTGGAATTCGAGGTCGCTTCACCCGTGGTGATGTGGATGGGGGGGGCCTCCCCTCAGCCACGAGGCCAATTTGGTCGCACGAGTGCACGGGCCTCTGCCTTTGTACATCCAGACTGTGCCAGCAACGTAGTTGTCTGCCTTGATCGCTTTTCGGCGCTCTCCATGTATCGCGAAGGCCTTACGACCGGTGCAGAAGGAGGAGAAGTAGGACGAGCAGGGGGAGGAGCCACATGAGGAGGAGGAGGAGGGTGAGGAGGATGGAGGAGGAGGAGGTGGAGGTAGAGGTTCAGGGGAGGGGGGGGGGAATGGAGGGGGGTTAGTTGTGAAGTGGGGGGGAGACTGGGGGGTAGTAGTGGTGCCCGCAGATGTTGACGGAGAAAGGACGTGGTCTCGTGAGGGTCTCTTGGGACATTCTTGGCTCGTCCTGGGGCTTTGTTTGGGCCGCGGTATTCCCGGGGGGGGCGTCGTATCTGACCCGGGACCCCCCTTGGACTTCCCCGGGACCCCCCCCCCTGGGACCACCCCCGGGGACAAACCCCGCAGGACCCCCCCCTCCGGCGGAAAAGGGATGAAAGGGAATGACGACGTGGCTCAATTTTGTGATTACGACATTGCTCAATTTCCTTTTACTTCGCCACTTGAGGGGGAGGCTTGGGAATGGGGAAGCAGCGACGACGACGACGAAGAGGGGGCAGACAGGAAAGCCTCAGAGAGGGCAGAGCGAAAAGCCTCTTCCACACGCCGACACAGGGTCAGCGGATATTCCTGGTGCAGATTGTAAGCCGCTGGCGGACACCTGGCGGCGAGCGCCCGGTGCTGGCACACAGGCCAGCGACCTTCTGGCCTTCCTCCGTTCATCGAGCGCCGTCCACTACTCGCACGGTGCCTTCTCGCAAACGTCCGAACAAAACACGGGTCCGCTTCAGTGTACTGGATCGTGGATCCCGCGCGGCGGACCCAGGCAGCGTGCGAGACGTTCTCCTGCGAGGCACTGGAGCGCCCTTGCCGAGCCGCGGAGCCATGTGGGCTCCCGCCGCAGAGGACGCGCCGCCGCCGGCCTCCTCTGCCCCCCCCGGGCGCCATGCCGCGCGCCCGCGGCGCGGGAGACCCGGCGGAGCACTGCCTGCTGGCGGGAGCGGCCGGGCGAGGCCCCGCGGCCGCGGGCGCCCGCGGCCTGCCGGGGCGCGCGGCGGCGGCGGCGGCGGCGCTGGCCGCCGCGGCGGGCCTGGCCGCGGCCTGCTGGCTGCCGGGCGGCGCCGGGGGCCGCCGGCGGCGGCCGGGGCCGCCCGCCCGGCGCCGGAGGGGGCCCGTCGCCCTGGCGGAGGCCGGCTGCGAGTGCGGCTGGGCGGGGCCGGCCAGCTGCGCCGAGGACGACGGCGGCGAGTGCTTCGGGGCCTGCTGCGCCGCCGGCGCCGCCGGTGGCGCCGCCGCCGTGGACGCGGGCGGCGCCGCCGCCGACGCTGCCACGCCAGACCCAGCGCCTGGTGGCGGGTTCTTCTGCTTCGTGGTGCTGCGGTCCAGCGGCTACGAGCCCGGGCTCATGAGGCGGCAGCACTCCAGGGGTGCGGGCATCTTCGCGTGCGAGTCGCAAGCGGTGTTCTGCACCGATGAACTGCATCTGGCGCCTGGTGTGGAGGCGATTCGGTTCACCCCGGCGGAGGTCGGAACGTCCAAAGATGACACAGCCGCGAACGCACAGCTCTTCATGAATGCATGGGATGCTGTCAGGAGCAACAGGAAGTACCAGGGAGGTGATTGGACGATCAAGACAGATCCAGACTGCGTGTTCTTGCCGGCTAAGCTTAAGCCCAAGCTTGCAGCGCACAATGGAGAGCTGACTTTCGTGCGCAATTGCAACGCCTGGCCAGGGTCGGACGACTTCCCCATGATGCTTGGAGCTCTGGAGGTCCTCTCCAGGAGTGCGGTGGACGCATACTTCGAAGGCGCAGACAAGTGCCGCGGCCTGGACTGGACCTCGTGGGGTGAAGACCTCTTCCTCGGAAAGTGCCTGATGAATCTCGGAGTGCCGCCGTTGGACGACGACTCCGTCCTCGTGGATGGCATCTGCACGCAGTCCACGGAGCCTCCCGGCGAGCGCCCGCCGCCCGAGAGCTGTGCGGTGGCTGGGGCGGCCGCGTTTCACGCGTTCAAGGACACCGAGAGGTGGGAGCGCTGCCTGGACGAGGCCACCGGCGCGCAGTAGCTCGTTGGTTCGATGCTCGTTTCGGGGACCTTCCTGGAGCCCACCTAACGGATCTGTTCGACCCCAGTTCGACTCAAGTTCGACTCAAGTTCGACTCAAGTTCGACTCAGGTTCGACTCAGGTTCGACTCAGGGTCGACCCAAATCGACTGACGTTCGACGCAGCTTCGACGCACGAGTGGAGCGAGTGGCTCCAGGAAGGTCCCCAGAACGAGCATCCAACGTTGGAGCCACGGTGGAAGGGCGCTGCTGCCCCGAGATCCCGGGACGCGATCCTCCGGCGGCGGACTTGCACTGCATTTGGGCGGCTTGACACCCTCCACGAGTCTGCAGGTACTCCAGATTTCGTCATAAAGGGAGGGGGGTCTCATTTCGGGGGGGGTCTCTTCCATGCTATCTTGGAGGGCCTGGGGGGCCTGGGGACGATGTTTTGGAGGGTTCTCCCACGGGGGAGGTTTGAAGTGGCTTGTCCTGGAGGGTCCAGACCCCCTCCCGTTTGTTACGAAATCTGGAGTAGACTGGTCCTGACTCGGGAGGGCGCGATGCGGGCTTCGGTCGCGAGAGCTGGGTCGGTGCAGGTAGGGGATGTTCAGGCTCATGCTGTTGTCTCCGCGACTCGGCGATGGTCACCACCCACCAAACCACCCCAACCCAACCCGAAGGCCCCAATTTGCGCGCCATTCCCTGTAGGGGGGTTGTCTGGAGGAAACAAAAAAAGCAGGTGGAACCCGTACCCCCCCACTCGAAATTTAGGTTTTCGGGTTAGGTTGGGGTGGATTGGTTCGAGATTGGGGTTTTCGGGTTCGGATCACGGCCGGGCAGAAGCTTGGTACGCCGTCGAGGCTGGGCGCGAAGCTTCGCCCGCCTTGTCATCGAAGACGCCTACGGCGAATCACCGCCGCCCCCTGCCTTTTTGGAAACGCCGATGTGGCCGAAAGTTGGACTAGAGCTTGGCCAAGCTATCGGACCATGAGTTCCCCGAGTCGGTTTGGAAAGCTTTCGGGGAACACATGGGAGAGAATGATTATGAACAGGAAGAGGAAGAGGAAGAAATAGAGTAGGAGGATGAGGGTTGTTAGGAGTCTCTTGGGGCACCCTTGGGGTCTGTTGGGGGCTTCTTGGGGGCCTCTTCGAGGCCTCTTGGAGGCATCTTGGGGGCCTCCTTGGGCCTCTTGGGGGCCTTTGGGGGCTTCCTGGGGGTCTCTTTGGCCGTCTTAGGGCGTTCCTGGTCCGTCTGACGCCGTCTGGAGCCGTCTTGGGGGCCTCTCTGGGCCGTCTTGGGGCCCTCTTGGGGCGCTTCAGGGCCGTCTTGGAGGCCATGTTGGGCGTCTTGGAGGCCTCTTGGGCCGTCTTGGGGCGCTCTTGGGGCCGTCTTGGGGGGCCCTTGGGCCGTCATAGGGCCTTCTTGGAGGCCTCTTGGGCGATCTTGGGGGCCTCTTGGGCCGTCGGAAGGCCGAAAAGAAGAAAACGCAAAAAACCTTCAAAAACCTAAGGAAAACCAATGATTTTGGCCTCTTCGGGCTCTCCTGGAGAACGTCTTGGAGGCCTCTTGGGCCATCTTGGAGGCATCTTGGGGCCATCTTGGCCGTCTTGGAGGGCATCTTGGGCCGTCTTGGAGGCATCTTGGAGCCATCTTACCCGTCTTGGAGGCCATCTTGGCCGTCTGGGAGGCATCTTGGAGGCCATCTTGGCCGTCTGGGAGGCCATCTTGGGCCAAGTTGGGGCAACAAAGGCATTGACAGACGGATTTTGGGAAAATTACGGGTGGCCGGCGGGACGGGCCGAACCCCACTGGGGAGTTCTTTTAGAAAAAGAACCAAAACCAAAACCTGAAACGTCCAGCACGCCGTGCACCCCTGCAAGCAGGGGGCGGCGGATCTAGTAGCATTCGGCCCATCCCGCCACCGTGCCTGGGTTGTGGGTCAGCGTTCTCAGGGATGCTTCCTGGGGTCGTTTCGGAGCGCTCTCGGGGGCCCCTTGGGGGCCTCTTGGGGGCCTCTTGGGGGCCTCTTGGGGCCTCTTGGGGGCCTCCTGGGGGCCTCTTGGGGGCCTCCTGGGGGCATCTTGGGACCTCCTGGGGGGCCCTCGGGGCCGAGGGCTCGAAATGTCTGTCCGGGGTCTTGGAGCCGTCTTTTCAAGCCTCTGGGACTCGTGGGCCGTCTTGGGCGCCTCTTGGGCCGTCTTGGGGCTCTCTTGGAGGCCTCTGGGGCCGTCTTGGCGCGATCTTGGGGGCCTCTAGGGCCGTCTAGGATTAGCGTCGGGAAGCCGACAAGGCGAGAACGCCACAAAGCTTCAAAATCTCATGGCAATCAATGATTCTGGCCCTCAGGCCATCCTGAGCGTCGTGGAGTGATCGTTCGGCGACTCGGGGCCCTCTCGGACCGTCTTCGGGGCCTCTTGGGGCTCTTTTGGCCCGTGTTGGGG